CTGGGTTGTTTCCATATCCTAGCTATTGTGAACAGTGCTGCAATAAACATGGAGGTGCACGTGTCCTTGTATATTGGTTTCTGTTGTTCAGGGTAGATGCCTAGAAGTGGTATGACTGGGTCGTAAGGGAGGTCAATCTTTAGCTCCTATCTATGTATCTTCCTCCCATTACTGGTGATTGAGCAGATGTTCTACTGCTTGAGCCATACCACAGGCTGTTTTTACTTTGGTTATTATTAGGTAAGATCTGTCTTTTTGTCCCAACAAGCCTAGACCATGATCCTCCTATTTATGTTTCCTACCACAGCTGGATAACAGGTATGTATTACCATATCTAGCTTTTTTTTCTGTTAGGTGTGTGTGTGGGGGGGGAGTGTCTCATAAACTTTATGCCCCAGAGTGGCCTGGAACCTCAGCCTCCTTGAGTAGCTAGGATTACAGGTATGAGCCACCAAGCTCAGCTATTTTTTAAAAAGAAGATATAGTCTTGGTGTTTTTTTGTTTTGTTTTATTTTTGCCAGGGACAGTCTGGACCATGATCTTTCTGTTTATACTTCTCACAGAGGTGAGGGCAGGCAGGTACTCATGTGCCTAGCCTTTTATTGGTTGAGATGGGGGTATCAATTTTTTGCTTGGGCTGAACCCTAATTCTCTTAATCTATGCCTCTTGAGTACCTGGTATTGAGTTGTGATCCACTGTGTCCTGCTCCAGTACTACTGTTTCCAAGCACTCCATTCTCCAGAAAAGCCCAAGGAAATATGAAACTAAGGCCTGCATCTAACAATAAAAGGGCCCTGCCCAGCCTGATTGATCCCTTTCAGATGTCTTGGCCCATTCTACCCTTCTGCTTCATTGCTTTTCAAATGTTGAATTCCTGATCTTTGGTGTTTTGTTTTGTTTTTTGATAGTCGTGAGGCTTGAACTCTGGGCCTGAGTGCTGTCCCTCAGCTCTTCAGTTCAAGGCTATCACTCTACCACTTGAGCCACAACGCCACTTCTGGCTTTTTCTGCTTATGTGGTGCTGAGGAATTGAACCATCCCTCATTGATGCAAGGCAAGCATTCTACCACTGAGTCACCTTCCCAGCCTCATGAACCAAATTTATTCTGTGTCATACCAAAGTTGTGAACTAGGACTAAGCACTGATGGCTCACATCAGTTATCCTAGCTACTTAGGATTTGAAGCTAGCCTAGGTAAACAAGTCTTGTGAGACTCCTATCTCTAATTAACCACCAAAAAGCAGGAAGTAGAGCTATGGTTCAAGTGGTAGAGTGTTAGACTAGAGCAAAAAAGCTCAGGGACAGCACCTAGACCCCAAGTTCAAGCCCTAAGACTGGCACGTGCACGTAAACATACACACACAAAAAGTTGTGAACTAGGCTTAAACTATGGAAATTATAGGGAGATTGGTTTGGGTATTCTAGGTGTGTGAGTCAGATAATTAGAGGTACCTGCAAATGTTTCAGTTCTGGGTCAGGGACATATTTAAATAGCAGATGGATCATGATGGACAGAGCTGCTAGCAGTGGCCTTGTGTGTGAGATAATGGTGGGTACTGACTGAGGCTAGTGAGAAGAACTTGAATTGTCTGAATTGCTTTTTATTTTGTTTTCTTGCATTAGATCCTTTTTTCCTTCTTTCTCTCTCTTTCCTTCCTTCCTTTCGTCCTTCCTTCTTTCTTTCTTTCTTTCTCTCTCTCTCTCTCTCTCTTTCTTTCTTTTTATTTTTTTGAGTTC